AGCTGAGTATAAGAGTAGAGGTGGAGGTTGTGTCTGCAGTTGGATGATTTGATTTGGTTTCAGAAATGTGCTGGAAATGTGACTTACACAGAATCACACAGTAATTAAGATTGGAAGGGACTCTAGGGATCAGCTAGTCCAAGTCTGTGCTCCAAGCAGTTCTCACCAAATCTGATTTATAGAATAATTGCAGGACAGTGAAGTCAGACCTCTCTCGACAGAGCTCTGGACATCATCTAATCCAGTCCCATACTCAGAGCTGGGTCAGCTACAGGGCTGCTCAGTATCTTGTCTAAAATCATTCAAGGATGATATTCTGTGGCCTTCCTGGGCAGTCTGTGCCACCATTTGACCACCACTGTGCTTTGTAAACAAACCCACCAGGTCGGTAGTATGTGAGTGGAATTTGCTGCTCTAAGCTGTGTCAGTTGCTGTGAAACTGGTCCCAGCTGTGTGCACTTCTATTGCATTTATTTTACTTTGGTGGGAGGCTGTAGTTTGGGCTTTTACATTCCCAGGACTGCCTTCCAAACTGTACCAGGAGCAGTTGCTGTTGTTGGAGTTGAGATGATCTGGTGAGGATGCAGGTAACAGTGGCCACATAAATGTGTGTAACACTTGCACACAATATGAGGGAGGGGATATTTTTGATGATGGAAACTAGTAGGAGGGTAGTGTGTGCTGCTTAAGTTGCTTTTATTGTGGTAAAATAATTGCTTTTCAGGTTGCATCCTGAGATTTAAACAATTGAAATATTATATGAGTTCGTTGAAGATCTTGGTTTTGAAATGATAAAAAAAAAATCAAATTTGGGGTAAATAATGAGAGGATAAGTCCTTTCAATTACATTTTAAAATTTATACTCTAAATTAGGAATCTTTAGGTCCTAATAATACTGACCTAAGTCAGTATGGTAGAGAAAATACTTAAAGCAAAAGCAAAGTGCAGCTTGTCTGTGCTTCTCTGTGGCAACATCTCTTGCTGGGGGGAGAAACGTGGCTTGCCACTTTGCTTTTTTAGCCTCTCTGTTCTGTGTGATTTTGCTGTCTTTTGCTGATGTACTGGCCTGGAGTAATGATCTATGAAACACTACTGCCAGCACTTTGGAGTTTGTGATCCTACAGTGGTTTCACTGCCAGCTGGAAAGTAAAATGGGAAGAAGCAAAACAGACAAGGATCCCAAGCTCTGAAGCACGGTTTTCCCACGCCTTAGCCATCAGGAGCTAGTAAGCTTTGCTTAGCTGCTGCCTCATACTGTTACCAGGGTGCTTGAGTGGTATTCTTTATTTCAAGTAACTTGACCTGAGATCATTTGAGATGTGTCTGCATGTGGGTCTTGCACTCTGGTTTGTTTTGCCTTATTCCTGAGTGTCAGCCTTCTGCCTTTTATGGATACTGTGATTTACTTGGCTCTGTAATCCAGTATTTAATTATTTAACGAAAATGCAGCATCCCTCCGAAACTGTGCATACTGTTCTTGATCAGGGTTTTTTTGAGAGAGAGGTCTAGCATTTTTTGCATTGAGCAGCAGTACCACCAAGCAAAAGGTTTAATGATCCCGTCTGTGATGTGTGAAGCTTGGACTTAAAAGGCCATTCTGGAAAAGTGAGTCATGCTAAACAAGCTGGGTAATACATGGATGTGGTGACTTAAATACTGAGCTACTTTTTTAGCTTGGAGAGAACAGTTCCCAGAAGTTGGAGCAAAAATCTTTCTTGTAGAAAAATTCGGAAAGAAAACTAGTGATTAGGGAATGTTTAGATACATGCAGTATCTTTATGTTCAAAAGGCAACCACTAACCTTTGGAATTCTAGATCAGGAAGCAGTGGCAGTCGTGTTTAGTAAGGTAGTGTCTTGCAGAGTGTGGTTTTGGAAGCACAGGCAGAATTGAATGAAATGGTAAAACAGCTTAGTTATTGCGAAAATGTACATTTATGTATTTAGTCCTACTTTTTCTTCTCAAGGTTGTTCTTTATGATGTAAAGATGACTTGTACTGTTCAATCTGTCCATGTGTACTATTGTAGAGACTTTGTACTTCCAGAGTGATCTAAATCAAAGGAGGTCCATTTTACTGGCATGCGGTATTGAAAATTCTGTAGGTTTTTGGTTTTTTTTTAAACTTGGATTGTGCATTGTTGTCTGAAAAGCCGCTTTAATCGTGGTTTTCCTCATACACACTTTTCATGGGGTGGGCTGTTTAATATAGATGAGTGTTTGGGAGGAGTGGAACTCTTCACTAGAGCTTTGAACTGAAATGAAAAAAAAATATAATGAGTGCTGCTTTACTTTTTGGTGGTTAGTACATACACTTCAGAGAGTAAGGTTATTATTTCTGTTTTAAGAGATGGTTGATGTCGCTTCTGTGGATGTACACTCAGACAGAAGGTAGGCTAAAGGCTGACTTCTCAGCTTCAGTGATTCTGTGACGTTTTTTTATGCACATCTCAAAAGAGTCCTTTAGTACGTGTTTTCTCCTGCAGTTCCCACTGTTGTGTAAAAGAGATAATCAAATAAACAACATGCACTTGATGGCAGTCCCTGAGTCCTTATTCTGATCTCTTGAATCTTCTCAAAAATACGTTCAGGGAAACAGTCCTCCTTGGAAGGAATGATGCTCAAGTGAAGAACTAAAGATGCAGGCTGTTAGCAGAGTGTGGGACAGACAGAGCAGGGCAGTGGGTGGCAATGTGGCTGGAGCAATGTGCACTTCGCTGTGGTGACCCTGACTCCTCCTGACTGCCTGCCACCATTTGAAATACCTCAAGTAGCTCTAAGGTTCCCTGTAGAGAGGCTGTGGTGCATTGTGTATGTGTTAGACTATGGAAGACAAAGCTCTCCTTTCAGTTGATAAAATCAGTCAGATAATGGGATTCTGACCTCATTGCACTAATTGCTGGTGAACAACTGTTAAAAAATGGGTCCCCTGCCCCCAGTCAGCTGAAGGCTTTTATGATAAGACAATTGGAGGGAATCTGTTGGAATTTAAGGTGGCTGTGGTTTAACTAGGCAAGGACAAAGGTGAGCATCTGTAGGAAGCCATCCTGGTCAGTGTTGGAAACAGCGCTGTGCTGCAGCTGAGTGCTGAAAGATGCTGTGTGCTGGGAAATGACCTCTTCATTCCTTGGTCTGGGCTGGCTGAGGAAGATGCTGTTTTCTTTTCTTATACTTCCTCAGGAAGCTGTGTGTTTTGGATATTGACTTTGATTATGTTGATTTTTAAGTGAATGATAAATATCACTCCCCAGATACATAACACACTGAAGGAGTTCTTATAAAAGTTTCACATTCTGATCGTTTTAATAAGCACTTTTAATTCTTGTTCCCACAAGTGCAATCAAAATGTACTGATTCTGCATTTAACTTTTAGAATTTGGAATAACATCGTACTGCTGAACTGGACATCTCCAAGAATAGTGGAAAATTAGATTTAGAAGCTAATGAGAAATGCAAAAAGATGGGTGAGGTGTATGTGTGTTTGGCGTGTGATTCTGAAGAGGAACTCTCCCTCTAATATTATAGATAATACTAATCTAATGTAGTATTTTTTAGTTTATAAAAAGTAAATATGGCACAGCCCAATACTAGTTTTTCTTCTTGTTTTTTGTGTCTTGAATAAGGACACTGTCAGAGTTATGTTTTTTTCAGGATAAATAGGAATGTTTTTTGACACGAACATTTTATTGTACATGTGGTGTACACAACATGAAACTGCAAGCTTGAAGGAAAGCTTGGTGTTCTTTATATGGTTGAATTTGTCATCTGACCATTCACTTCTTGTGGTTTGCATGGTGTGGTTGAAAGAGCTCACAGCTGTCAGACACCTCTCCTCTCCCCTGTGTTCTGTGGGGAATAAGAGCAATATGCTCCCTGAGGTAGCAGAAGCAGTTGCTTCATTTTATAGTCTGCAGGACAGCTGTCAATGCTGATCTGCAAAATCAGGCTGGTAAAGATGCTAAATGCAACTTACTGCCTCCTACAGGAGATTGCTCTTGTGTAGTCCAGGGGACATTCTGTTTTAGGTAGATATCTAGATATTTTCTCTGAAAATGTAATACTCTCCTTAGTGAGGGATGGATGGCAACTGTAGATATTTAACACGTATATTTATCAAAAATTACTGTTAAATTTTTCTAAGAAACAACATGGTTAAAAACTCATTTGACCTCGTGTCAAAATTTGATCACAATTGAGGAAACAATTCCTTAAAATCTGTCTTGTTATTCAGAATCCAGTTGACTTCCTATGAAAAGCAGTTGAGTTAAAAAGGGAACAATAATTCCTCTAGTAAGTCCCCCTAGACTTGGAAAGAAACATTGGGAAACTATTCTGGTTTGGATTTCAAGAATGTGTAGGAGTTCTGGCCTTAGTCTGAGCTGAGGTGTAGAAATCTCAAGTGTTAATCTGCAAGAAACCTGCCCTCGGGAACTTGCATTATTTTAAGGTAGAATACTAATTTCTGTGGCTGTTGATTGAAGCTTTCCAAATATGAACTGGAAGTGTCCTCTCAAGCCTGTGGGTGGCTTCAGTGCTGCTGCTGGCAACAGCTTTTTCACCTGCAGTGCAGGTAAACTGAGCAATGCTATTTGTAACATCACTGCATTGCTCAGTTCAGTAGCCAGTGTTTTTTGGGCTGGTTTTTTCCTTTCAGGATGCTTAAAAGAGAACCATATGTGTGCATGTGCACACATACCCAGATATGGGTGAGAAGGTAAAAGTTGGATGAAAAAAGTCGTAGTATAAAAAAAACCAAACAAAAAACCCTAAAGAAAAATCAAAAAACCCCAACCAACAAAAAACCCCCAAAAATCACAGCCCTTGAGAAGGAAAAAATATATTGAGAAGGGGAAGAAAAAAATGTTTGTTTTTGTTTGAAGGACACAAAATGTTTGTGTGAAGCCCACAAAGGGAGCTTTCTGAAAAGATGTTTACTTTGAAATGTTTATTTCTCAGGGCAATTCCAAAGATGAAAGAGTTGAACAAGATTTGATGTTTCCAAGATTTTGGGCAAATGATAAGTTTCATAACTTCCATATTGATGAATTGCAATGTCATGTATGACTCTGTCCTTTAAATAGTAATAAAACACCCAAGCCACAGACACATCCATTTCCATGCTAGGAATACTAATTGTCTCTAAAAACGTGTTTAGGATGAGCTTAAGGAAACTTTTCACTTTAATAAAGCAAAAGCATAAAATAAATCACTGGAGTCAAGATACTATCATTCTTTCTATTCTTTTTATTCATAATATATGTGCTCAGTTCTGGGCTTCTCAGTACAAGAAAGACAGGGAGCTGCTGGAGAGGGTTTAGCATTGGCCACAAAAGTGATGAAGGGTCTGGAGCATCTCTTATGACTTGTTTAGTCTGGAGGAGACTGGGAGGGAATCTCATTAATGCATATAAATAATCTCGCAGGCAGGTGCCAAGAGGGTGGTGTCAGACTTGTCAGTGGTGCTCAGTGACAGGCTGAGGAGCAATGGCCATAAACTAAAACACAAGAAGATTCACCTCAGCATGAGGGAGAACTTCTTCACTGGAAGAGCTGCCCGGGGAGGGTGTGGAGTCTCCCTCTTTGGAGACATTCCAAACCCACCCAGACACATACCTATGTCACTGCTCCAGGTGACCCTGCTGTGGCAGGGGCTTGGATTGGATGATCTCCAGAGGTCCCTTCAAGCCTTAAAAATTATGTGGTTCTGTGTGATTCTGTGATGTAAAATTGTTGGTAATATAGATGTAGGAGTTTGCAAATTTGTCCACTTGCATTTCAAAGGTATTAAAGGGTCTCTTAAATTATTTTAACTCTAGTCTGGGGCATCTTAGTATTCTCCTATATTCCAAGTTTCTGGGTGTTAGGCTGTATATATTCCTCAGTTCCTGCTGAGCCACCTTGATTTCCCTTAAATTAGTGGTGGGTAGCATGAAAAATAGAACACTCTGAGTATGGCCTAAGAGCAGCATCACAACAGGGACTCAGCTGATGGCAGCACAGGCTCATTCTTCTGCCTCAGTTGTCAGTGCTAAGTGGGGTGAGTACCTTCACAAGTCTTCTCCAAACTTCCCTTGGTCTTTGGTGAGTGCATGCAGTTCTTTGCAGATGAGAAACTAACTCAAGTAAGCCGTTTGTGTCAAAGCCAGCACTCACCTCAAACTGCCTTTGAACTGTTTTCACTGTTCTTGATTGGACTGTTTGGGCATGCAGAAAGAATTAAAATAACATATTATTTGCTTTGCTGTGTAACTAATGGATATTTGATGTTTCCAAGTCTTGTGCATTTGAAATGGATGTATTAGGAAAATCTAGGGGAGATGGTAGCAACAGTGTGAGCAGAAAAATGGAGAACAAAGTGGAAAGCCTGAGCTTCTGCAGAAAGAGAGACTTCAGAAATGGCAGCCTCAGTCTGACTGAGCAGTGAGTGCCCTGTCCAGGTTTAGAAAGGCTGGTGAGTTTGTGAGACTGGTTTGGGGGTTTTTTTTTGTTGGTTTTTTTTTCCATATGTCTTGGATTTTTTTGTGAAGCAGTAAGTCTTCTCACAGAAGCGTATTACATAGGGAATTTCTTTTTTTCTTACTCATGGCTTAGCTGTTATCTTGCCCTGCTGCAGCTCTGGGTTTGCCAGTTCCCCGAGATCCAGTGGGAGCAGTGCTGAGCTGGTTAAGCTGGGTTTTATCAGTTCATGCCATACCCAGCGCAGTTGGTGTTGTTTGCCCGGTGCCCCGAGCTCCAGCAGGGAGCACAGGGGCTCAGAGCCATGGAAATCAGGCACCCTGGGAGCCAGGGAGCTCCGGGTGTGCTGGCTGAGAGGCCTCTGTGCTGACACAGGGCTGCACCTTGGCAGTGCTGCCAGGACAAATGCAGCAAATGAGCAGGGTTAACTTCTCTTGATAATTGCAGGTAGAAATGAGGCAGCTTATTTCAATTACAATGTAAATTAAAACATTTGCAGTCCTTTATTGGATTCCTGTTGCACCTTCTGAGCGGTGCTACTTACAGCTTTTTGCTGTAGAAGTTTACTTGCAGAGATAAGTCTTCATTTGTTGATGAGATGTTTAGCCTGAAAAGTTCTTGCCAAAACTAAGACAGAATGAGAACATCAGAAATAAGGAAGAAAATCAGTATTCCTTGACCGTTTAGCAAGCAAAACATTCTGTTTTGTTTCAGAGATGGCTTTGTGTGTGTAAATTGTTACTGGTTATTATATATTTGGTCTGAGTTTAAAAAGCTGGAGAGAAATAATCTAATTCTGGGGTAGAGTTGAATCAATTTGTAATGCAAAGGAGCAACATTTGGTACTGAATTGAGAAGAATTACAGCTGTTTGAATGAAATACATCCCAATTAAGTCACAACAGCACTTTCAAGAGAAGTGAACCCTGAAAGAGAAATGAGCAGTAATGTGCCACATCCCAGCCCTTGGAACTCAAGCAAAAAATGCAGAGCTTTTTGGCATTATAAGAAGAACTCACTTTTTGAACCCAAGTTGCAAGTTCTGATGTTCTGAAATTGGATAAAGTTTTCAGAGGTATTGTTTGTGAGGATAAACACGCCTATTGCTGTTCCTTGTGATACAGGAGTGGATTAAAAGTTCTCAGTACTTTTTGTTGTAGTGACTGGGTTCCTGAAACTGAAACAAATTGAGAGCAAAGTGTATTTTCAAAAAACCAGCTCCACCATGTTGCAGAGATGTTTGTGTTCTGATTCTGTTCTTTAATTAGCAGATTGCATGCTTATGAGGGGGGTGGGTATGGAGCAAAACACTGGATGCTCTCCCTGGAAAGGTAGAAAATGTAACAGCAGGATATTCCCTATGCATTTCCTGCTGCCTTCCTGCCTGTTTCCAGGCCTTGGGCTCTGCTGGGTTTTCCTCCCTCATGCTCTTTTCCCCTTTCCAAATGTTTGCTTGTCGTGGCACACTAAGTCGTGCTCTTTTAAGCAGAAATGCAGGTATGTCAATATTGTCATAATGTTACTGTTTAATCTAGTTACCTTAGAGAGGACCTTGTAATTTCTGCAGTGCTACTGTTCACCAAAATAATTAGCCTTCACTGAACTGCACTCCATTAAATGTGACCTGTGTGCATAATAAAGTAGTACAGGTATTGTAATCTGTAGCTGGATGTTCATGAATTAGTGGTAATCTGTGTACAATTAAAACAAGCAAAAGGGGAGTGTAAGTATAAGTGTTAAAATAGAAATATGACTGATTGGACTAGCTACATTTACTACAATCTTAATGAGCAACCAAGAGAACCTGCATCACAAATGCTGCTTGTAGTCTTTCCCTTGAAACTTCTCTATAACTACAAACTGTGTAATCTATTTTGCCTGTTCTTCCCCTCTTCCACAGGAGCACAGGAAGTTCAGCTGTGACATATAAAGGCAGGAAATGTGTAATGAATGAGCCAGGCCAACTTCTTCTATAGATATTCTATATGAATATTTAATATTACTTTTGAATGTAAGTTTTTGTTTGTGGTATTAGACAACTATTGAAAGTGAAGTCTAATCTTTGGGGTTTTTTTTCTCCTTAGAGCACAACAATGGAAGAAACAGCTATATGGGAACAACACACAGTGACTCTTCACAGGGTGAGTTCATACAACTGGCTGTGTGTGCCTAACGCAGGATACTGGTAGTTTCTGAAAACAATAGGAAAAAGCCAGATGTCAGGAAGTAAAAGGAAAGGAAACTGTCATATTCCCTTGTTTAAATTTAGAAGTGTTGTAAAAGCTCCATGTGATAGCTCTGTTTGTTTGTTGGGTTCAGAGATAAGCCTGCCTACGGATAACCATGCTAGAAACAAAGCTTTAGATTACATCTAAACTAACTGAAGGGAGCTAGAAATCTGTTCATTCATAGTAGTGCTGTAACTGTGCTTGAAAGTTTTAAAACTTTATTTGCAGGGATATAAAAAAAAGCAGTTGCATATAAATAAACGTATTCAAAACTATCTTATTTGCTTGCCACTTTTGTACCCTGCACAAAGGAATGTGTGCTGGGAACCAGAGAATAGCAAGACTGCTTTTGTATTTAGACTGACTCCTCTTGTTTGAGTTACTCCTAAATTAAGTTCTGATTGCAGCTATCATGAAGCTACACAAGAGAGTCAGTAAGGAATTAATTGCTTAGGAAGAGTAAGAGCAGGGTGGGAATGCCATTTCTGGCAGCAACTTCGTATGAAAGCAGCCACGGAATCATGGTCCAAATAGCCATATTCATCCCAAAACCAGGGAGATGTGGAAGTGTTTTCTCAAGGGAGCATGTTAAACCATTTGTCTTCAGTTCATCATAGAATAAAGGCATTTTCAAATTGTACCTTTGGTGGGATGAATGGACCTTAGACAAAAATGCCAATATGTAGGTGATTTGGTCAGGTAAAATGCTAATTCTCTGTCAGACCTGTTAGCTGCTGATTCAAAGTAACTGTTTGGGTAGGTGCCCTTTTGTGAAGGGAACAGTTAACACTCAGTTTGACCAGAAGGCTGACAGAGCATCCAGTCTCTGACTGCAGCCACATGTTGAAAGGAAAATACAAATAAAAATGAAAATGTATAGTGATGTTTATCTAGGCTACTCTTTACGCTTCCAACAATTTTTAGGTCAACAAGTTTTTGAGCAAGTGTTATTTCTATATTTCATTAATTGCCCTTTATGTTTTCATGTTGAAGCTGTCCAGTCATCCCTGTAATCTCTGTAAACTTCAGGTTTTTTATGCCTATTACTGATTAAATCAGTACTCTTTTATAGTCAAAACCAAACAAAAAACGCCATAGTACTACAAGGTTGGCTTGTAGGCTCGCTGATAGCTCATTTTCTCTTGAAGGGGACCTTTTCCTGGTCAGTTGGAGCAGTAATTTCAGTGACACAAGAAGTGAGACATTTAGTCAGTGCACAAAGAAATAATGAAATGCTGCAATACGGTGTTACCTTGAATGAAATTCTAAATAACTGGTAGGAACCAGAGGTCTTGGTTTTGGTTGCACTTGCAGCATAGTCAGAAGTTCTTT